AGCCCAGACTTCTCGTTGAGAAGAGGGTGTCAATAGCATTCAGAGACCAGTTGATCAAATCCATAATTCTCTTTTAGGTTTTAGAGAACAACAGTGAGAGACTGTTCGAGGGAAAGTAATACACATGAGACAAGACAAGGACACAAGAGGGAAGGAAGATAAGGGGAAGGAGGATAGGAGAAAAAAGTGCGACCGCCTTCGCCAAGAGCCAGAGAAGAATGATCATTTGTAACTTTCACTAAAACGGTTTCTGTACCGTGGTGAACTCTGAAACCTAAATTCAAAAGGTTAACATCAGCTTACAAAAGAGTTGAAAGAGACAATTGAAAACATAAACTCATATGAAAAGTGTTTACTGAGGTTACTAATTAAGTGAAGGCCCAGATGATGGCGCAATGGTTAGCGCTGTCAATTCACAACAAGAAGCTCCTGAACTGAAGGACAGACAACATTAATTATATTAGTATTATTTGAGTTGTGAACTATGCACAACCACTCGTGGAAACAAGCAGAATAGGTTCACTTTAAATCTTATAACAGTAAATGTTTTAAATGAAAATACTTGAAGCTTGGTTGTATTAAAGATAACTTTAATAACTGTATGATGTGGTTCCATAAAAAGACACAAGTTAGTCTAAACACTAAACACTGTGCACAAAGAAAAACTGAGAAAATGTTAAAATTGGCTCCTAAAATTAAAATCAAGGAAGTAACTAATATATCCACAAGCAACACTGTTAAACAGCATAAATAAATACTTTGGTGTGCAAAGGAGCTTAAACAGTTGCCCGATCTTTGTTGGACGCTGTATTTTGGTAGTTGGGCAGCAGGTTCACCATCTGCTGTTTCTTCAGTTCGATTTTCTCCTTTGCTCTGAAAACACAAAGTCGCGTAATGCACATCAACTACAAGGCTACGAGTCTAAAACACCCATGCATTATTATTCATAAATATGATTGTCAATCAGAAAATAAATCAACAGCTTTTCTGGTAACTGATTACTTGTTTTAGTCAGTTTAAGCAAAAATACTAAATGTGCTGTGTTGGGAAAAAAAAGTCAATCTGTACTTACTATAGATACAATAGCAGAGATATAACGGGATTTAAAGGGGCTTAATTTTCCTACTGCACTAACTACTCACTTTTTTGGGAACTCAATGTCGTTGATGGTATCTGGCAGCAGTACGCCTCTGGTCTCAGGGAGCAGCAGCACCAAACCTCCGGCCAGGAAAGCCAGAAACCCTACACAACACAATTCAATAATGCATTTAAGCTTTGATAGTCAGATTTATCTGACTTTTACTCTCAGAAAACCCACCAAAGATGATGAGTGGCAGCTCCAGCCAGATCACAGCCAGTCTGTAGAGCAGGAATGGAGCCACAATGCCTCCAACATCACACAGAGTGGAACAAACAGACACTCCCATGTTCCTAAAGACATAAAAACAGCATTTCTTTTAATCTACTAAAATAAAGTATATTTACTTTTTAAACTTTTGATACAAAGACATGTTTAAAAGGCTAAATATCCACAGTTACATTAGTTATCTACATACAAATACAAAAACAGCTGGATTTGGACAGGTTCTGAAACTGTGACATAAAAGAAAAGGATAAAAGTTCATATTTTGATCAGTTTCACACTTATATTATCAGGTACAGCTTCAAACTGATTTGGCAGCAGTCTAAGCTTTCTGTGAGCACAGTTCTATCAATAATCTACTAGTGATTTGTGATGTCCTTTTGTTATACACAGAATTTACTGTTGTTTACTGATTACCTTAGTTGATGTATAAATTATACCTGTTCATCCCAAACACAATACATTTTTTTGTATTATACCTGACAAACGTCGGGTAGAGCTCAGTGTTCACAAACACCACCATCTCAAAGGTCATCGTGATCCCCAATCGGCCGATGCATGCCACTGCCGTCTTAAACCAAAACATGCCTGCAAAAACAGACAGAACCATTAAAAGAAAACTTGGAAATCAACGTTCAAGAGCACTAAGAAAAATCACTCACTTTCAGGAATAAAGGCAGTGATGAAACAGGAGACTCCAGCTACAAAATTGGCCGTGGCGAAGGGGAGGCGTCGGCCGACGCGCTCAATGGTGAACAGGATGAGGAAGGCGGCAGGAAACTCCACCAAGCCAGAGATGAGGAAGTCGATATAGACATTTCCTCCCAGAATGCCCAGCCTCATGATCAAACCCTGGTAGACGACAGCACTGGTGAACCTGAGAGAAAAAACATCTCATTAACTTTGAATCTTTATCGTAAATTCCATCCATCCACTTTCTTCCGCTTATCTGGAGCCAGGTCACGGGGGCAGCAGCCCAAGCAGAGAAGCCCAGACCTTCCTCTCCCCAGCCACCTCCTCCAGCTTATCCGGGGGAACACCAAGGCGTTCCTAGGCCAGCCGAGAGAGATAATCTCTCCAGCGTGTCCTGGGTCTGCCCCGGGGCCTCCTCCCAGTGGGACATGCCCGGAAAACCTTGCCCAGGAGGCGCCCAGGGGGGCATCCTTGTCAGATACCCGAACCACCTCAGCTGGCTCCTTTCGATGTGGAGGAGCAGCGGCTCTACTCTGAGCCCCTCCCGAATGGCCGAACTTCTCACCCTATCTCTAAGGGAGAGGCCAGCCACCCTTTGGAGGAAGCCCATTTCTGCTGCTTGTATTCGCAATCTCGTTCTTTCGGTCACTACCCACAGCTCGTGGCCATAGGGGCGCAGATCGACCAGTAAATTGAGAGCTTCACTTTTACACTCAGCTCTCCGTGAATCGCTACCTTATCGTGGTGGAGAGGTTTGTGTGTCCCAGGGATCCCAGGGGCTATGTTGTCTGGGGGCTTTTGCCCCCTGGTAGGGTCTCCCATGGCAAATTGGTCCTGGGTGAGTGACCAGACAAAGAGCGATTCAGAAGACCCTTATGAGGAAAACATCAAGGGAACAGTTTACCCTGCCCGGGATAGGAACCAGGCCTGGGGAGGGTGCCCAAGGCCAAGCGTCTTGTGGCCGGGCCTTAGTCCATGGGGCCCGGCCGGGCACAGCACGAAAAAGGGACATGGGCCCATCTTTCTGCAGTCCTACCACCCGCAGGAGACAGACGTAGGGGTCGGGTGCAATGTGCGTCAGGCGGAGGTCCTGGCAGACCGATTCCCGGCTACCAAGACTGGCAATTGGGAGACTTTATCCTAAATTGATTTTTTTATTTTTGGATAAAGAAGAGTCATTTATCATAACAGTTGTGTCCTGCTTCAATTAAATCCTTACCAGTTATAGGTGAGAATAAAAGTGTGTTTTCGCATGTTTGGCGTTCTGATCAGGTCCATGAAGGAAGCGGTGGTTGAGTCTGCGTTATCATCTTTCAGGGTCTGCAGGATCATTCATATAACATCACATAGTAAAAGTATTTCTGGTTGTTTTTATGCCTTAGCTTCAGCCTGTTTTACTATGTTTCTCCATGAAAAAAAATCTCACAAAAAATAATGCAGTCTAATCCAATCCAGATCGTGTCTTTTTCATGGAAGGCTTGAAACCGCTTATTGCATCTTTTAAAACAGCATGGCTTCAAAGTAGAAGAGTTCAGGTACTGAACTGGCTTGCCTGGAGTCCAGACCTTTCACCAACCCAAAACATCTGGTGTATCATGACATGAAAAAAACAACAAGCAAGACCCAGAACTGTTGAGGAGCTACATTTTCATCAGACACAAATGGGACAACATTTCTCTCTCCAAAGTCCATGAACTGGTATTTTCAGTTCTCACACATTTACAGAAATGTAAATCTATTTCTATTTCCTAAAATGTAAGTTTTATCTCACTTAATAAGTCACAATGAATTAGACTTCAAATTTTCATGTTATATGCTGATAGAATTTGATTCCAGGTAACAGATGCAGAGATTTTGTGTCCAATGGCTACCTCGATGTTCCTGGAAAGAGTCATCTTGTTTTCTTTGGCCATGTCCGCTGTGATCTTCACTGCTTTGGAGATTTGGTTTTGAGAGAGAAGCCATCTTGGAGACTCTGGGATGAACCTGAAAAAGTAAAATGTCAACAACAAATCTGTTGTTAAATACAAAACTATTTAAAGGTACAAATTCTTTCTTTTTTTAATTGATAATGACAAATAATTAGTAGGTGTGTGCATTTTTTCACTAAGACAAAGAGATTTTTGGATTTTATTTTAAGGTTTAATGGGTCGTACAAAGAAAGAACAGGCAAAACAGACAACCCACGTAAGGGTAGCATCTGATAAAATATAGTGCTAAAGGTGCA